AGCGACCTCGCAGACTTTAATAAACCTTCGATTAAAAGAAAAACAATTTTGTGATAGAGTGGTGTTTATAATACATGTTGCATTGGATAATTAACTTTTTAGGGGAAACAAACAAATGTGGGCTTTTGTGAGTGGTGGTGCAAACAAATTTTTTTTTTTAAAATGCTCGATTATTTTGGGTTAATTGAAACGTTTCGTTCTTACAACGAGACGGTATAAAGCGTTTTGAATGTTAGCTTCTAATGAATTTAAGAGCCTTAAAATATCGTCGGGATTTATACAATCTGTTTCAGCGAGTAGCATGGATCTTTCAATTAAATATTTCGGGCATTTTGCTAAAAAGTGTTCAGTGGTTTCTACTTCTCGACACGAGTTACAGTGTCCAGTTGGATGTATTCCCATTCGGCCTAGATCCGCGTTAAGACCGATGTGTCCAAGTCGTAAACGACGTATTATCTTTTCTTTTGCTCGCTCTAGTTGCAATTGAAGGTTTGTGAAACCGATTTTTGGATTGTTTTGTAGTGTGTATTTGGAGAAACCTGCCATCTTAATTGCCACAGCTCGGTAAAATGCCTCTTTAAAATGCTGTTCACTTCTGAGATATTAAGGCTGTTTGTTATTTCAATGTGTTTGCTGAGGGCTGCCTTAGCATGAAAATCCGCACATTCATTTCCCGTTATTCCACAGTGGGAGGGAATCCATTCAAAGTTCCACGCATTGCTGTATATGTGCTCCGAATTATACAACCTGGACCCATATTGCTCCGTTTAGTCTCATTTCACACGCCCCCTATCGTCAGAGCATGGTCAGAGTCAGCAGCCTAACATGTTAGCCTATGGACGTTTTTTTTTAAAAATCGTTAAAAATTCATTTTTTGTTTAAAAACGAAAAGCACATCCACCCGACGTACGTTATCACTAGCTCTTTCATTGGAGCCCTCATGTCTCATTGACTTTTGAAAGTTCACCCACCGTAATATTTCAAATAGGTTTCAAGCTCGTCATTGCCTATAATACACATATGTGAAACAAGTTTAACTTTGGACTCAGTTTGCTAAGCGATTTGAAGATTATAGGTCGAGCACACGAAACATAAAAAGCATGAATTATCATAGATCACTTCTGCCTATTTTATTATGTCCATTTCATCCAACCCCCCACCGTAATTTTTCAATTTAGTAAAAGCAAACATTTAGCCGAGGTAAGCAAAAACATGAATATTCATGACACACCATGGACTATTCGGTTATTAACAGAGGGGTGCAATCGGTCATCACGTCAAACTCCCCTAATTGCCACAAGTATTTCATATAATTATATAGTTTTGGTATGTTTCTTTTACTCACTCATGAATTATTAAATATCAATGATGGTTTAAAAAAATGTAAAAGAATTTTAGTTGATATTTATTAACAAAGTAATTTATATTTAGCAAAACAATCTCACATACAAATTACTATCAAGTGTCGTCTGCTACGCCGATTGTCGCCTGCTTCGTTAAAGGCACATATTTATCGTTTGGACTGTACGGTATACCAGGGAGATTTGTATTTTCCTGCAGTACAACGTAAAGCAGGAAAATGTTGTATATGCGGATCCTTTTTAATGATTACGTAATGGAAGTGGCGGGGCGGTATGATTTGAATAACTTAGGCAGGTGAAAGTTATTGTATTGAGAAGGAAAGGAATGTTCAGAAGGCATGGAGAGGGAATTGGGCGTGGTAGCCATTCTAGCTTTGCACCTACATCAGTACGAAAATACACCCGACGGCGCGGTGGCCTGTACTTATAGCGCGCGAACACATCACACCCAATGGCATACACCCGGTACCCTGCAACACAGTGGAACATTCTAAGAAATTAAAAAATTATCTACAAAATGGACCTATTGAATCATCCGAGAAGTAACTTACCCTATTCTGATTACTTCAATGAATGTCAAGATAACAATTGCTGCTTTTCCACTCCAAAAATAAAACTAGTTTGCAATTAGAAATAGTCAATTTCTCGATAATTTCACAAAATATATTTGCCGCCGCATTCAATATGACGTCATTGACAGCTGATTGGCTAGTTTGGTAGTGACGTCGAACGAGCTATGTTTGTGCTGCAGTGATCGAGCGAGCGAAAATGAAACAATTGGAGCAATATGCGAACTATTTAGTTTTCTAAATCTTTTAATGATTCATCAATGTATTTTTAAATAGGCCATTCACTTTTTTTCTGTAAATTGAACAATTTCAATTTTCAGCTGCATGCTCGATGATCTTGATCTCACTAACGAAACCAATACAATACAATGTTAGTCATTGTTTTCTAATGTTTCTTTACCGATGTCTTTCTTCCTTCACTATCATCTGTAGGGTTCAAGTTTTGCCCCTAGATTTGCACATAGTTGAAGGGGAGGGCACTCACACTTATGTATTTGTAATTATGTTCGGAGCACACTAATGTTGCGTGTCTAGTATTCCAGCCCTCTGTACCGTTTTTCGTTTAGCGCACCCATCAGCTGATAAAATAACACACCCTCAACGTTGAAAGTATAGACGTAGCCATTCCTCTAAATCTGGACCTCGAATACGTTCGTGTGGACGAAAATTGGGATTGCGCGATCAGTGGAGAGACCGCGCTGTGTGTGTGTGGGGGGGGGGGGGTAAAAGAACGAACGGACTGAATCTGGACACTTGTCTAGAGGAGATAGCTCTCGCGTCAAGCACGTATTCCAAACATCTGAAACATGTCTTTAAGAACTGCGAGGGGAGGGGCAGTTGCCCCCTATGTTTCTAGCGAGCAAATTGATCACACAAGGGCTCCCTCACACTAGAAAGAATATACAAGTCATGTAAGCTTTATGCAGGTCACTTTAAAATGCAAATTTGTCAGCCTTTCGAAATAAAAGTATAATGCTCTTTCGCTACCAAGAGGAACAGACTCGTTAACCTTTTACTGCATTACAATTATATTCAAGTTTTCTAGTGCTCAAAAATTAATTCTCGGTACGCCCATATCTGGATTGTCCCCTTTAATCGCTTGATTACCTCTCGATAGAGGTTTTTGTACAATCCTAGCATCTCATACAGCGCTCAAAATACACGGGGGCGGTGGGCGATTCGCCCCGTGAGCTACATAATCGCCCCCGTCAGGTTGCTCACGGGGGCGATTGCAAATTAAAATCGCTCCCGTGGAATTATAAAATAAAGATTATCTTTTCCGTTATAACTTTAACACAATATTGAGTTTCAATTTTCAAACCTTAAACCAATGAAAGGGAACTTAGATTAGCGTGCAAGATTTCTCGTTTTATGAGTAGGCCTATTATTACCGATTCATCTCGCAGTGCAGTGCCGCCGTCAGCAGTGGTTATAGGCGTACTGCGCCGTTAGTACGGTACGTGTGCACGCTGCCGCGCCATGTTTGCTGGAGCTGGAGGCGATCGCGAAAGGGCAGAAACATGGTAATGGAGAAGTTTTTCGTTGTGAAAGCGTAAACCCGCTGAAATCTGGTGATTTCAAATGACCAGCAAATAATGAACCTCGACCAGTAAATCAATATTAGGGACTTTTAGATTTGCACGATGAGAACGTGGACTGCAACGTGTGACCTCCTTTTAAGGCAGTGCCAGTGCTTAAAAGGACGTCACATGTGACTGCCCAGTGGCGGATCCAGCGAGGCCCCCCCCCCCCCCCCTTGAGAAAAAAATCATGTAAAATCACGTGATTTTTACCTTTTTTGAGGGTTGGGCCCCCCCCCCTGTCGCTCAAGGGGGGGGGGTGCAAATTGAAATTTTTTTGAGGATCAAAAAAACAAATGTGCTCACTATCCCCCCCCCCCCCCCCCCCCCCCCCCCCCCCCCCACTGAGCGAATTTTTGGCAGGCGCGTTTTTCAAATTTTCGGGAGCAAAAGAAAAAAAAAAAAGAAAAAAAATTGTGCTCTGTACCCCCCCCCCCCCCCCTTGGTAATTTTTGTGTGTAAACCCCCCCCCCCCCCCCCCCCCCCCCCTTTTGGATTTTTTTTTTTTTTTTTTTTTTTTTTTTAATTAAAAAAAAAAAAAAAAAAAAAAAAAAAAAAAATTCCCATGGTTGACCTAAAAAAGCTGACCTTACCCCCCTCCAACGGAGCAAAATGTCAAATTTTCAAATTTCGAGACCAAAAAAAAAAAAAATGTGTCCTCTTACCACCCCCCCCCCCCCCCCCCCCCCCGCTTATTCAGCGGTCGGCTGAGTCGTTGTGATTTTTTAACCCCCCCCCCCCCCCCCCTTATTCAGCGAGCGGTCGGGTGAGTCGCTGCGAAATTTTCGGCCCGATTTATAAATGTTACATTGAATGGAACGTCTCAACTCAGTAAGCATGGCTGAGATTTGTAAAAGTTGTTTTTACAAAGAAGATTCGCGGGTGAATAGCAGTGCTTATTCAAACAAATATTCGCATCAATTTGAATCACAATCATTATTTGTCGCTTAATCCCTTTTAATGACCTTGTTTTCTTTCTCGTTTGCAAGGGGAGAAGAAGATATGTCACGTTAAAGACATCATAAAGATCAGTGTTGTATGCGTATATATTATATACACAGGCCAGTAACAGCTATGTAGCTGTAAATTTGTAAGAGGGAAAATGCTGATTGAAATGATAATGATGAAAAAGCAAATAATTGAGGAGTATCATTTATAGGTACCAATTCAATGGATATTTGTATAAAAAAATCCCCCGTCAGTACTAAAAGAGCCCCCGTGAGAAGGCTCACGGGGGCTCTTTTTTTGGGTGGAAGAGCCCCCGTGGACAAAAAATTAATTTGAGCCCTGGTTCTACACATTATTACATAATAGCATGGAAGGGATGTTCCTTTGTCTACCTGAGGAACTGTATATTTTATGCGCACGCGGCATATACTAGTAAAAGGAAAACCAAGGTTGACGCATTCTCGATCGCCAACTGAGACGACGTGACGCATGCGCAGTGCCTTAAAATGACGTCACACGTTGCAGTCAAAGCTGTGTCGACGTGCAAATATAAAAGTCCCTATTTATCTTCGCGTGACACCAGAGTGAGTAACAGCTTCACCCGAAAAGGTAAAGAGAATTGTTGAGACTGCCCGCGGCCATCACTTTCATTGCTTTGAGACACCGTTGACCAAGTTTGCGAAGTTGAATCGAAGTGTGTGTCATCTTCATCATGAATCGTTTCTTTGAAGATAAAGAGGTAGCTATCAATTATCTCAAACACCGACCGCATTATTCTGCAGAGATTGCTGAAGCAATCATAAATTACTTGGCTGAACATGTAAGTATAATTATAAGGCTATGTACGGCAGGCAGTTGTAATACTTTTTCATAGTTTTAACGCATGATATAATACCTGTTTGATTGAAAGCATGCAATTTCTCTTCTTCATCATTTTTAAATGCAAATATTGCAAAAGAAAATTGGAATTGGAAATTAGGGCTGTATTGAGAAACAATTTATTTCCTCAACTATTAGCTGACAAAATTAATAATGCAGTAACATTTGCCATGGATATAACAAAAGCAATTGTACGATCCATACATACATGTAATCAACTTTATAAGGCTTATCTAACCAATCCTACAAAAAAAAATCTTGCTTTTCGTTTAACCCTGGACCTCCTCGTCGTAATGTCATAGGGCTCTCATCAAGAACAGATATTTTTTTAACATAAACATACATTCAGGGAAATATGGTTTCGGAAGTGGAGAGCGTATGTAAAAAGCCTATACACCAGTGGCGGATCCAGGGGTGGGCCGAAACGGCCGCGGCCCCCCCCCCCCCCTATTGGCGGCGCAAAAAAATTGAGAAGGAAAAAAAGAGGGGGAAAGAAAATGGAGGAAAAAAGAAGAAGATAAAAGAAAAAAGAACAAAAAAGTAAAGAAAAGAGAGAGAGAGTTCAAAAAAGAGGAAAGAAAAAGAAGAGAGGAGCCGGGGAGAAAGAAAGACAACGAAATGGCACTAAAAATTAGTGATAGTAACGACGAATAAGGGAAAGACAAGGGGAAGGGGGGTGCGTAAAGGCGGATGCATTGAGGGGAGGGGGGAGGGGTGACTGGCCGTATTCTTATTTTTAGGTTATGCGAAACTGAGTCGAAATTATGCTTCTTTTAAAAAAAATCTTAGCATGCTTATTTATGTTAAGCCGGAGTGCATGAAAAGGTTAGTGTAGAAACACTTCTGAAAAGGCCACGCCCGGCCCCTCCAAAGAACGGCAGAATGGTAATCCATAAATTATGGGGTCATTCTTGATGGCTTGGGAGTCGTTAAAATGAGGGGGCCGGCCCTACTAAAATGGTAGTGACGGTAACGATGGATAAGGGAATAAGGAGGAAGGGATGCACATGCAGGCGCGTACGCACGGGGGGGGGGGGGGTCGAATCCCCCTCAAATTTTTGTCAAGTTGTCAAGTTGGTCCTGATGTGTATAATGCGTAGACCAGGGGTTCTCAAACTTTTTCTTTGACGGTCCAGAAGCGATTTCTATGAAAGCTGTAAGGACCGAAATGACACTTGTATACTGAAGATAATGAGGCTTGTTTTTGGTCTATATCTGATCCAAGGAGAATTGTTACAGTTTAAAAAAAACAGAACCAGTGCTTCCACTCGTTTAAATAGAGTTTCCTGAAAAATAACATCCAATATCCTGGAATTTGAAGGAATTTTCTTAAAATTTTCAAAATGCCTCTTACGTGGATTTCTTATTTGGGTGGATCGCTATGGCTTTTTAATATATATTAATTATTGAGTGGGCTTATTTTGCTTTCTAATGGATCCATACAACATGGCAGAGCTTGAGGGGCTGGCAGAGCCTTTTCAAGAGAGAAATTGTCTTTAGGAGAAAAAAAGAGATTATTTCTAAATAAAATGAAAGGGGTCTTGTCAAATAGCCCTTTCATTTCATTTTTTCTCTCGAAATAAACTCTCTTTCTCTCTTATAGACAATTTTATGAGATGGAATCTTCAATCTGAAGCCTTTTTGTGCTCTTTGAAAATGGCACACTGAATGGGGCAGTGCAATTTAAATTTCAAGGGATGGATTAGAGTTTTTATCGCTCTTGAAAGTCAAATAGCCCTTTCATTTCAGAAATAAGGCTCTCTCACTCTCTTACAGACAATTTTATGAGATGGAATCTTCAATCTGAAGCCTTTTTGTGCTCTTTGAAAATGGCACACTGAATGGGGCAGTGCAATTTAAATTTCAAGGGATGGATTAGAGTTTTTATTGCTCTTGAAAGTCAAATATCCCTTTCATTTCATTTTAGAAATAAATTCTAATACATTCCTTGATATTTAAATTGTGCTGCCCCTATTGTGTCCTCTTTTTAAAGAGCACAACAGAGCCCTCAGATTAGGCAGCAAGTAGCAAAACAAACCCGTAACACTGGACACAACATTCAATGGGATGATGCCCATATCATTGAGTTTGAAACGCACTTCTGGTCAAGAATGGTAGAAGAAGCATCTGCATAAAAAGGATGAATCCTTCACTGAAAAGGGATTCTTGCTATACACTTTTACCTTTGTGTAAATAATAAAAGGTCCACGGGCGTGGTTGTTAGAAGCTTAAACTACATAAAACTCTATCCAATTTTGCAGGGGGAGAGCCTTTGTCGGGAGTCTTTAATAATAAAAGGGATAAATCCTTCACTGAATAGGGATTCTTGCTATATGTTACCTTTCTTCGCTCCAGTGATCTCGAGGCAGCAGACAGCAAGAAATTGTGTAAATAACTTGCTGCTGCCGGGAGTCTTGCATGGGGCGGAGCCCCAGGAAGTTCTTGAACTTTAAAAAAAATTAGGAAATTCCAAATAGTCGTCATGAAATTGTAATTTCCTCCTTGAGAGTCACATAACCCCTTTCATTTCATTTTAAAATTTAACCTCTCTTTCTCTCTTAAAGACAATTTCATATAACTTCTGTTTTCGTATTGTTGTACTTTCGTCCGCAGACTACTTAAGCACATGTCGATCCAACTCAGTCGGAAATGTAATATGTAGGCCTAAGTGTAAAGTTAAGTTTCATGTTCTTCCTTTTTTCTTTCTTTCTTTCTTTCTCTCCCTCTCTCTGTCTCTCTCCTTTTCCTCTATCTTCTTTTTTAAAAACATTATTCTTTCTTTTCTTCTCATTTATCTGTGTGTGACATGCGTTACGCGTACGTCTATCAATGTCTTAATATGGTAGATTTACATTTTGATGTTTCCCTTTGTAGGTGCACCTTATATTCCAGAAAGTGCCCTATTTTGATGATGCCCCCCCCCCCCCATGTATTGATCTTGATAAAAAATAACTTTCTCATTAATTCTATTACCAATATATCTAATACTTGCACTAATCTCCAATTTAATAAAAAATCGTCTACTTTCTCTCAAGACAACATTATATAAAGGATTCATTAATGCAAGGCTATCTCGCGAGTAATCTCTCAATTTCTAACTTCCTGCATTCCTCATCTCCCAGTCTCCCTTGCTTTAATATTCCTCGTTACTTCCTTCCAATTGAACTCCAACTTAATTGATGTTATACACTGTATCTATTCTTCAACTACATGTAGATGCAAATGTTACTCAAAATCCATTATAATCACACTCAGGATACAGCCAACTGACGAGAATTGCTTCAATCTATATTTTACATGTATCATTAATATATGGTTTTACAATGGCTATGGTGATGAGTTGTCTAGGTAACATGTTGATGTGTTTGTTAAAATGTATTGCCATGGCGCAGTGCACCTTCTTGGTTGGGTATGTATTAACGTAAGTTCGTGCCTTTACATATCACAGTAGAAATCAATGTTTTATATTTGATGCAGAATAATATAAATATTTGGAGATTAGAAACACAAACAGTTTCCATAACCGTTCAAGTGTTTCAAAAAAAAATTAAGCAAACTTTCTCCTGGATGTAAATTCACACTAGCGTATAGCACTAGCGAGCTCTCCGATCTAGGCTAGACTCTTCGCGAGCGGTTTCATTGGAATTTTAAGCGGTTTCATTGGAATTAATCGAGAAATTCCCCTCGCTAGCGTGTAAATAAAAAATACGCCGGCCGGCCATACGTAAATGGCAGTGACGGTAACGACAGATTAGGAGGAAGGGGTGCATACGTGAACTACAAGCGTATTGGGATGATCATACTATCATTTTAGAGTGTGCAATCTGGGTCGGAATCCAGCATAATATATTTATAAAAAAGAAGTTCACATAAAAGCACTCATGATAAAGCCGCGCCCGGCCCCTACAACATCATTTTGGATTTTAAGATGATGGGCCGGGTGGCAGGGGTAGGGGGCAAAGTTCGCACCACTCTTTAAGTACCCCCCCCCCCCCCAAAGGGCCACTTTTACTTTGTAAAGAAGTGCCCCTTCCCCTTTTTAACTCGGATAAGCGCACATTTCATCAACACATGTGCCCCCTTTCCTATCTGATAAGGGCTATTTAGAAAAATGAGGCCCTTCATAAATAAAAAGTGTCCCTTTTCATCTCTGGTAAATGACCATTTTCATATATGAGAAGTTAATTCTTTTTACTTCAGTGCGCTCTTCACCTCCGATAATTGCCCCTATTCAAATCTGAGAGATGCTCGTTTTACTTTGAAAAGTACCCCTTCCCCTCCTGATAAGTACTCTTTTCATCTATGATGGGTGCCCATTTTCACCTTTGCTAACTGCCCTTTTATTTTGAATCGTGCCCCTTTTCCTTTCTAATAAGGGACCTATCCCCTTTTCATAAATGCCCCTTTTCACCTCTGATAAATCAATTTCTGATGGATGCCCCTTTTCCGTCAACAAATGCCCATTTCCCATACTCATAAGTGCCCTATCTCATTTCTGGTGAGTGCCTCCTTTCAGGTGTAAGAAGTGCCCCGTTTGAACCTTCGATAATTGCTCTTTGTACCTTGACACATGCTCCTTTTCTTTTCTAATAAGTGTAGGCACGTGCCCCTAACCTGCTCATCATTAGTCTTGTACCTAATTTAAAGCGACTAAGAGTAATTTCCCCTAAAAAGGTCGCTCGCTCGCTCGCATTTATAGATGATACAATATGTCACTTTAAAACAAATGTTTTTTCAGTCTTCCGTGATGCTTATAACCCCATCACGATTTGGTTTTTTCCTCTTTATAAGATGTAATTTTTCACTCTGCGACCTCACAGATCTTACATTTTTTCTCGCTCGCTTTGCTCGCTCGCAAATGAATATTCAGACAATCACACCCAGCCGAAAGTGTGATGCTTAAGCAATATCTTGTATGATATATAAAGAAAAACAAATATT